AGTTATCCTGTTATCCATCTGTGTTTATTGCACCCACATTGGATCTTGAACAACTTGTGCAGTCTCTCTCCTCCTGTATGTGTTGTGGTGCTGGCTCCTCTGTTTGGTTCCTCTGCTGTGTCAGTGCTTTCTTTATAGGGCAGCAGACCTGATTGAGGAGTATTCAATGGCATTGGACACACCTGGGCCCCGTGCATAAACAATTGAGCAGCTGAAGTCATTGTTGACAGTTCTCCTCATCTCGTACCTTTGTTGTGGCTCTTGGTTTCCTCTCTTTTCTTTTTTTTAACAGCACAACACTCATGGAGCACATTTTCATGAATCCACTTCCTACAATACTGACTTTACAGATTCCTCCCATCTATGTATTTGACTTACGTATATTTAGGTATGAACTACTTTATTTCTTAAAAGGGACAGTGTGTACATTTTAGTGGCATCTAGTGGTTTGTGGCAGGTTGCAACCAACCAAATGTATCGGAGAACTACGGTGGCCTACGGGTAAGGACAGGTATCTTTAAGATTTTAGTACAGCTAAGGGCTACTCTTATCAATACTCGGTTCTTCTACATGGCTAAATAATTGTTTTTTAAACGATATACAAGATTTTAAAAACAAATACATTTACAACAGATTTAGAAGTTATTTATAATTTAAATATTGCTAAATATTATTTCTACAGCATTAACGGTTATGTTTACAAAGAGTTTATAAAGAATGAAGAGCACAGAGATCCATCAGTGTCAGTTATTCCTCCTGTCTTCTGTACATTTTACACGTTCACAAATGTATTGGTATTGGCTTTTTACTGGAACATATTTAATTGTCATAACAAGCACTTTAAGCCCTTTAAGTACACCCATGTGTCTCCCATTTTTGACACGACATAGCTCCCGCCTGGGAACAATAAAACAGCCATCAGTGGGGTACCCAAACAAGTCATCACTCCTTTAGGCTACTTCGCCACGACTCACTTTGTCTGGACAACTTGTCCCACCCGCACAAACCTTGTGTAGCTCGCCTGGGTGAGTAGACCTACAGCTTGTGGCCCTAGTTTCTTGGACTGCCATCGGGTTCGGCTCTGCAACTGCGTCCACGTGCTCCGCTATGTGTCTCTGGCCAGCACTTAGTATAACATGTAGCTGTGCTCCCACCTCCATTAATTGACTCCACACAGGTGTGTTTAACTTTGCTAATAGCTGTGGCCAGGTCGAAATCCCCAACGGAATCTACACACAACACATTACAATTCAACACAATCCGAGAGAACTGAACAACCCAAAACAACTTAAATATAAATAACTATAACATACAGAGCAAATATAACAAACATAAGAAATACATTAATACATGCAACTCAAAATATAATTGCAATATAATGAATAAAGCCTCACAGATATATGCTACTTGATTATGATGAAAAGATATTTGGCACCTTTTTTATTCAACTAGATGGAGCTTCTACATCAGAGTTGTCAGAGAAACTTATTTTGGACAGTGGTAATTGAGATGTTCTGACAGTTAAACCAAAATTAACTCAAAGATGCATTTTTTTACATGTTAAAGCTGCATTAAAATTTTGTTAGGCTACAAGGGGACAGAAAAAATCCCAAAACAAACTTGTTCACACACAGTTGCAGCAGATGTGACGCAACATTATTGTCCCATATCTTGTGGACCACATTCACACCTGGCATTAACATCTGATCTGTATCAGGTATTGATAAATACCTTATTATCTATCTGTCTATTCTATCTAATCCACCCACACTGGATCTGTAACAGCTTGTCAACAAACACGGTACGTCTTAGGTCAAAGGAAACAATGAGCTCTGTTTTTCTTTTTGAAAGGGAGGACTTATCTGTAGCTTTTTGCCTGGTTTACTTGAGGACTAAGAGTTGAAAGTAGATGTCCTTTCAACTTGTTCAGGAAGCAGTTTTTCTTAAGAATGTGTTCACACTGTACAGATTAAATTTATTCCAATAAAGATCTGATTCTTGCATTTACATGCGTTCTGTCCTCTTGCAGGGAAAATATATACAGATGTAGATCACAAGTTCATGTATAAATGACCAAGTGTAAATGTGATGTAACTATTCTCTTACGCCTGAGAGAAACCTGTTTCTCTTTAGCTGTTAATGGCTTGAATTTCTTGGTCTAAAGGAGGATACATCCCAATACAAAAAAACCCCACATCTAATTTAAATCCACCATGACCCACGACCTACTGTCTACTGAACTGATTTTTCAGCAAACATGTTTCTTTGTACATTAAATTTAGATTCTTACTCAGTCTGTTGTGACTGCTTCCTCATTGTTTGATTGGCAATGCATGTGTCCTCCCCAAGAGGAATGTAAACCTTTTTCACTCATACTTTAGTCTCATAAATATCCAACAGTATGAAATATGTAGCGCTTACTTTTTTATTCAACTACCTTTTTCTTCTTGTCAGAGAAACAATGGGACAATGGGTTGTTACCAACGGTCATGGATGATTGGTGCACCCTAAGTACTCATTCAGTCGTGTCAGTCAGATGGTGCTTTAAGATTGTTTAAGAGTAGCTGAAGTCATGGAAGGGTGTGGGCGACAATAGGAAACAAACTGAATTAGATAACTAGTGTGGTGGAAAGTTCAAGAATTTCTGTAGTTCTCCTCAACAACAACACAGCTACCGCTTAATCATGCAAGAAGCAAATATCAGTGCCATTGTTTGTCTTTAAATGATAAAAAATACACTTTGTAACACTTATCAGGATCATCTGTTACAGCCGAGCCAACTGAAGAGGAATTAGTTTGTCATACAGAAATGACATGCATCTGAATTTAGAGACTTTTTCAAGTAATAAAATGGGTTTTAAATTGGAACTTTCAAAAGATGATGCCTCACATAACACTTATTTAGCAGCTGGCATCAGAACAGATATGATCAAATTCAAACACATGAAAGAAACTTTTGGAAAACTATGAGGAACATGTTTGGTTTATTCTCCTCATCAAAATTAACGAGAAACCAATTTAAACCTTAATGGGATAATAACTTTCTCATAGCACCCGCATTGACCAACAGAAGTGAAATGAGCAATCTCCAAAATTATGACGAAAGATGCGTCTGTTTACTGAATATTTCAGCCATTCTTTATTTTTGAACCAGGAACTGTCATCGTCTCTTTATATGACACATTCACAACATTTTGGACATATTTTAACGACTATATTACTGTAGTTCTGCTTTCAGTTAAGATGCAAAATAAACTGAACGTGGGGTCTACTTGCTGGAGAGATACTATTCAGTCACCAATAGACAGACATATTGATCCTTTTGGAGTACACCATCTCAAATTTTGTGGTCAATAATTTCTACACAGTCCCTGCTTACAAAACAATACAGCCATATACTCATTGAAAAGTTTAAATGCTGCATAAAGGGGCTACAGTGACATGAATTATCTCAAGGGAAAATGTAATATTATTAACAAATGTAACAATGGCATGTGTACTTAATCGTATACAGTTTATATTAACAGCATACTTTATATTATACTTCGTACACCATTAAGATGCAACCTGAAACAAAATAAATCAAACTCAAACATTGATGATAAAGACCTAAGCTTACAACAAATACAACTGGATGAAATGTATGCTTTGACTGTGTGTTTGTGATTGAAGGAATTTCCCAGTGATTGACTGACCGACTGATTAAATACAAACTGTTTGGAGGAACCATTCATCAGCAGTGATTAACTTGTATTGTTACTGCCGTGTTTATTCTCACCCAGAGAGATACAATTAATTATTCCTTTGATGACAGACAAGATCAGGCCTTCAATCTGCCCCGCAGGACAGTCCTTAAAATGAAGGAGTCCGACCACCTCTCATTTAACGTTGGGACAGCAAACAAACCAGAGGAAAGGAGGGACATCCCCGTGACCTGTTTTACTTATCAGGTAAAAAACTATGTGTGGATTCTACAGTTTAGCATTGTATTTTTCATGTAATGTGTAATTTTCATTTTGGTACATTTCCTGCTTTTTAATTCACAGAATTTCCGATTGAAGCACATTTCCTGCCATGGGAAACTCAGTGTCCACTGGCTTCATCACTCCTACTCCCAAGAAACTGTCCTGGGGGCGCCAGGAAGAGGACACAGTCAAGCTGGAGGACGTCTTCACACAGCGAGAGGAGGCTCTCTGGAGAGTAAAAGCAAAGCAGAGTTTATCTGTGAAAAAGGTCCACCTCACTCGCAGCATCCGCTACGTGGACCTAGCTCTCCAGGAGAGCGACAGCCTTTATCCAAATATGGGCGAAATGCTGAACCCTGCTTTTGTTGGAGATGAAGCCTCATGAATGAGTGAATTCACTGCAGACAATTAAATCTTCAACACAGCAAGAAGATACTGTCAGTTGTGATGTTTGAAGGGATAATGGCAAACAGCCCCTGTAATGCTACTGCAACATGAGAGGTCTGTCATAGAGACACAGTTTTCACCACAAGACTGGGTGTGAACCTATAACCAGGAAATGTGTGTCAACCGTTTTCGGTGTGAAATGGAAGCAAAAGTGACAATATATTTATTGTACAGTTTCAGATAATCACAATTTGAGCAAATATCAATCTGATCAAGGCTGAACTGAGCAAAGGAAATCTAACATCTCTGCGTCCGTGAAACACACAAAGGTGTAAGGTAGAGTAATGACATTTTTCTGTGAGAAGAGCTTCATATCTTAAAAAAGAGTGATATCATTTGCAGCGTCTGTGGACTTTTCAAGGAGTTTACATGTCACTGTTTTCAATCCGCACTGTTGTCTTATCTTTGTACCACATGGATTTTGAATCAATGTATTGTATCTTAGCACAGTGTTCTCAAGGTTATTTAGAGTCATTTGTCTGAAGCAAATACAGTTTGTAACTAACTTGTAAGAAAGCTTGTTGGACAAATACATTAAACCTTCCAGCTGATTCTGTTTTAGCCTCTTGATTAATTTGCAGTGCAAAAATGGGTCATTGTACTATGTCTAATCTGAGGTTTAATATTTTTACTGCTGTCAAATAATAAACTACAATGTATCAGAAAAGGTCTCCAACATATTCATTAGCAAGTAAATAAAAAAACAGTGATACCCGCACTGATAGAGAAATTACTGTTGTGCATAATTAAGTCATTTTACAATCGCACTGTTATAATAATTAGTGCTTCTTTAGTAAAGGTAACTCATCTCATTGAATTCAGAGTGGGCTCGCACTAACGAACGGCGGCCCGTCAATGGGGCTATAAGGCTTTACATCAATATCAAATGAATAATTAAAGGAACCATGATTGAGGTTTTTAGTTCTCCATATCAAAAAATATGTTGTTGTTGGCGATGATCTCAAAGACAAATGGGCTTCATAAATAGGGGAACAATCCTGACAGAACTAAAAGTGGAGAAGTCATGAATACTAAAATAAATTCAATAAGAAGGAAGTGAGAGCAGCAGAACGGCACACCTTTTGGTAAAGTCCAGGGTTGTGATATCAGATGCAGAACAGAGATAACATTTAAAAAGCGTTAAATACTAATGAGAAACTTTTTTATATATACAGCTTAGGTGAGAATAGTTTAGAGCACAAGACATGGTTAAAAAAATAATAATGATGATGATTAGTACAAAAGACTTCCCTAATATATGACTGACGAGAAAATAAATCTAAATTTGTGTGTAGCGCATTGTGTGTGTGTGTGTGTGTGTGTGCTGTATTAAAAGTGGAATGGAAACTGGAGGAGTCATCCCTCACTGGAGGGAAATGACTGTGGCACCTGACAAGCTTGGAAATATCTGTCATTTTATTCACAGGTCTGACCCCCAGACGGCGAGATGGATTCTGTCAAATGGCTTATGATTTTTGTGTGCCTTTGCGTTAAAGGTATGGCACATTCTCTACACTGTAAAGCCAGCTAATAATCTCTTGTTGCTCACAAGAAATGCAGTTAAACAGTCAGGTTTTTGTCTTTTTGATGTGTTAATATCGTTTTTGTTCAGGCCAAGATTTTAATTTTTAGATGAATTTGTATTTTTCATGCAAGTCCTTCTCTTCTCTACTTTGTCTTTGTCTCATTTTATCCCGTTTTCCTCTGCAACAGTTACTCAAACTGAAGCCTCATCTTGGACAATTCAGGTGCCGTCCTCAGTCAAAGGTCTCCCTGGATCCTGTGTGGTGATCCCCTGCTCATTTAACTACCCAGATCCAGGCAAGAAGATCACTGAGTTCACGGGGATGTGGCTCAAGGCGACACATGAGGTCATCTATCACCCAGACAAGTCGAAAAGGATGCAGCAGTATCGGAATCGGACAGAGTTGCTGGGAGATGTCAGACAGAAGAGCTGCTCACTGAAGATTGATCCCCTTCAACAAGATGACCGAGGGCCTTTTTTTTTCAGGATTGAAATGGCAGACTATGAAATGTTTTCCTACAGAAAGAACACAGTCTCCATTACAATGATTAGTAAGTAATAACAACAACTCTAACCAGACTTGTGTAAGAGTACAGTTAATTCCAGCATTTTAACAGAAGTCTCTTTTTAATTACCGTGTTGCAATCAGTGAATCAGGAAAACAGTCATTTGGTTACTTTCCTCATGTTATTTAGTTACTTGTTCTACTTCAGATGTTTGTGCAAACAACCACGTTTCCAAAGAAATAATTACAACACATTTACATTTTTACCTCAAAGGTTTATGTCAGTTGTGTCCGAAAACTGAATTTGTAATTATAAGCTCAAACAAAGTCCTCTGACAATTCAACTGTTTTGGTCATTTAGGTTGCAATTGTTGGTTCCGATTCCCACTTCCTTATTTGTGCTCTTGTAACTGGTTGGTCTCCTCTCGCTTTAAATAACTTTGATCAAAACACAACTGAAACAGTTTCATTTCTTGAGAAAGATATATTGAATGCCGCCCATTTTGAGAATTCCTATGTGTTAAATCCTGTGCCAAAATGGTTCAGTCAACATTTCTATTTGTCCAAATCTTGAAATCAGACTGAAAACCTATGATTTTGTGATGAAAGTACATTGACAATTAGAGTTTTATCAGAGGGGGAACTGCCTTTTGTTAAGCTAAATTTGGATTTGGGGCAGCACATGGGATTGATGAAGTAAAAAAGTAACAGCAACATCCCAAGAGCACATGGCATCAATACCACCTGAATAAAACAGGGAATGTCTTTCTTTCTATGCTATGCCTTTACCATACAGTCCAGTGTTTAGTAGTAATTTCATGTGTTGTGTTTTGGTAACCTTATGTCATTTCACATGATTTGGGATTTTCAAGTTTTTTATCTTTGTCAACTAAAGTGCTTCCACAATTCATGGAAGCCCCAACATCATGTGATGCCAGAATACAAAGTTGACCAGCCCAGTAGATTAAGTACCCTCCACTGCCTGCCTATCATGATCTTTCTTATTGTTACAGGTGAACTAAATCCCATCCAATTCTCAGTGAAGGAGGAGGTAATGGAGGGTCAAAATGTGTCTGCATCCTGCTCTGTGTCTCACTCCTGCCCCACTTCACCACCTGTCTTCACCTGGAGCCTCCCTGGAGACAAACACTTTCAATCACAGCCGCTGGACAATGGCCACTGGACAGCAACATCTACTCTGAACTTTCACCCTACCAGCGCTGATCACAACAAGCCTTTACAATGCACCGTGACATACAAGGGAGGGCAGCACCACAAAGCAGAAAAGGTCCTCCGAGTAAAATGTAAGTCTTTGTGGCCATTATAAAAACTGCTGATATAAACATTACTCATTTCGCTGTGCCCTTACTTACTTTCCTATTGCTTTTTTAGCAACACTAGCTCTGCCAGAAATATGTCATTAACTATTCAGTCAATCGTGGCCCCTAGACTATAAATGTTACTGATGTTGGTGATCCCTTGACTTTTTCTCTAGCACCAACATAAAGTTGACATTTGTTGTTTTGAGTCAAATGTCTGGACAACTATTGGATTAATTGCACACATTTATGTGCTCCAATTGTTATAACTTTGGTGACTTTTCGTTTACTGCAACCATTTGGTTTACTTTTTTTTTTACAATACTTTGGTTTAGGACCACACACTTGCAAAACTAATGACATTCCCATCAGCCTTGAACGTTTTTTGTATATTGTGCTAATTATCAAATATTATCATGCAAACAAGATTTTCAACATGATAAACATTATACCTGTCATGCAATGTCATTGAGAGCATTTAGCAAAGTTAACGCTAGCGTTTGATAGCTCAAAGCACTGCTGTCCCTGTATGTACAGCCTCACAGAGATGCTGGCATGGCTGTAGACTCTTATCATCTTGTTTGTTTATGTGCATTACTTTGTAAAAGACTGCCAAATATACTACATCATGGTATTATTGTATGATTCCATGCAGACGCCCCAGTGAATGTGAATATTGAGCACAAGTCAGATGTACAGGAGGGAGAAGCTGTGCGACTAAGATGCTCCAGTGATGCTAACCCCCCAGCCACCTATCAGTGGCATAATGAAACGGGTGCTCAACTGCATCAAGGAAATCTCTACACGCTGCCAAATGTCTCCAGACACACAGGAGCCCTGTTCTGTACTGCCATCAATGCAGTGGGACAAGGCAAATCAAACCCTTTGCGGCTCAATGTGTTATGTAAGTAAACAATCAAAGAAATGCACTGATAAAGGAGAGTTTTCTTTTAAAAGTATCTCATAAAAGTACATTCTTGTGTTTACAGATGTGCCTGAGATTAAGACGATCTCTTCCTGCTCCTTAGAGGCGGATATGGTGAAGTGTGTGTGCATTGCAGAGTCCCAGCCTGCCAGTATGGTCTATTTTGTGCTTTCTGACAGGGTCCTGCCAAGCATCAAGGTAGAAAAACATGGCTCCGTTACCATCGGGACTCTGCAGGCAGAGTTTGGATCTTCCCGGGTCGTTTACTGTCTGGCAAACAACACGCTTGGCAATGCCAACCTAACACTCTCTTTACCTGTTAACAGTAAGGAAGATTTATTTTTATTTCCAGAAGTGCATGACACACACCTCAAGACAAGAGGCATACATTTTATATTGATAAAGACAAAAATTTACACCACATGGTTTCTGTTTGGACAGGTAAGATGCAGAATCTTTATATTATCATCGCTTCTGGAGCAGGCGGGATTTTGGTGATGCTTTTAATAACAGTGAGAGTTTTTAAAAAATGGTAAGTTGCTATGAAAAAATGTTTCCTGTCATTTAAACTAAGTAGTAAAATGATTTTGCTTCTCAATAACAGTCAAAGCACATCCTTCTGACCATGTGGTAGCAGAAAGTCAGCTTGCAAAATCTTTCAAATGTATTGAATTTTCAGTTTCAGTTGTTGTGAAAAGTTTCAATAGTTGTTTTCATGTTCCTAAATTAAAAACCATTATTCTCCCAGCAGGGGGAGATCTGCGAGTGCACTGACACCTCACATTAGTACCGAGAAGGCAAAAAAAGATGTGGCGCTCCCTCAGTATTCTGCAACTAAAAGGTTTCAGTCATTCACCTCAGTTTGAACAAAACAATCCTAATGATGTAAAATGACACAAGGAAGCTGACCTTAAATAATCCTGTGTGTTTATGTTTTTTTTTTTTGTTCTGCCCGAAGAAAAGAGAAGAGCCATGAGGATGTACATTGCGTAGGTATTTATGCCACCGACCATATATACGGCAACATGGAGGTATGTTAAGCTGTCTTCATTCATTCATTCATTTAATATTTACATGCATGAGAGAAGAGAGTGAGTTAATTTTGTTTCCTACAGACTGACTGTGATGATGCAATCTACGCCAATATGTAACTTTGTTGAATTCATTGGGGGAACAGCTGCAGTCCCTCTGTTGTCCAACTGATGTGAGTCAAGAAAGCTGCAAAATTATTAATATGCTATCTTCTGTATAAATGACAAATTATATTTTTCTGTCTCCTGTAATTCACATACAGTAAATGTTTTTCTGTTTTTTTTAAGTTGTTCATGTCTAAATATGACTTTTCCCTGACTGCTTGTCTGATCATAAGTAACAGATTTGTTGTAAAAAAAAAAATCACCATCAAACTACTTACCTGTTTTATTTGCCAATGTGTCACCCAACAACAACACTTGCTGCACAAGCTACACCTTTTTAATTTCCTCTTTTGCAGCCATGGTTTCTTTATCAGAGTAACAGATAAGAACATCGCTGTTGAAGTTACAAAATGCTGGCTTGCTGCCAAATAACCCTGTTAACCCCTGTTGACTTTTTTGTTCACGGCTATAAAAGCAACACAGTCACTGTGCTCATCACAGCACAGCACAGATGCGCTGAACATATGTGTACACTTGCCTCACAAAAACAGTTGCGTCACAATGTCAAAACACTCAAGGAAGAATAATTTCAATGCCGTACTAACTGACTGACTTTACTGTAAATGTTTGAGTATGTGCAGCAGCACAGATTATACTCACTCATTAATCAACTGAAACAAGTTAGAAAGTGAAAATATTCTATGTGTGCTCAGGTCAATGTGGAAAACCCCTTGAGGTTTTTCTTGAAGTGTGTTAATGATAAAAAGACAGGAAGCCAAAGGGGAAGCTACTGTCTAAGGTGCAAAAAAAGAGTACTGAAGTGATCACACATTTCAAAAACAGAAACACCAAACATCGCTCTATTCTTGGCACAAGCCTTGCCTCAAATGATCATAAACTGTAAACGCAAACTCACTTTGGGAGATACAGTATTCCTCAACAGCTTTGTAGTATTTAGAAAAATGTGGATAAAAGGCCCAAAGTCATCTTCCCAGTTTAATGCAGTCTGATTTATATCGCTGTGTAACAAACATTAACACCATGAAATCTGGAAAAACTGCTTACAACTCATTTGCTAACTGCTAATTCAGCAATCTTTAGCATTCAGATAAAAAAAAAAAATCTGTGAAGGGTAGCCCACAAGTTGTTCATATTTCATCTTTAGAATTTAAAAATGGTGAAGGAATTTAAATATTGCCTGTTGATTTGTTTTCTTTAATCTCTTGAAAGTTCAACCTCATAGTTGCCCTGAAAAATTTTATAATCTGAAATAATTAAAAAATATATCAACAAATCATACAATCAAGTTTTTTTATGACAAAATGTATTACACATTCTCACAAAACTGTGTTAGTTTATTCATATTCAAACACAAATCAAAGGGGGGCATCTTTCTCCATCACACCCTTCTGTTTTTACACAATCAAGCATTTAATTATTTAATGGTATTTCATTTGAATAAGACACACTATAAATCATATTGAAAGAAGCATCAAACAGTGAAGTATTACTGAAGTAAACACACCAGATATGACGTGGTAAATAACTGATCATGAGAGTGACACTCTCAAGAGTTCGGGCATTTCAGGTTTTTCAAATGGCATTACAGTGTGCAGTGATGTGTTAACTGACTGATTGTGTTTCTTAATTCAGAATGCGGACTCATAATTCACTTTTGGTCAAACAGTATCTCTCTGTAATCATATCACATCAGGGTAGTATTTCCTTTTCAGCTCAACATCTGTATGGAGAGTAAACTTTTACAAATGTAGCATCTGAGAGACATTAATTAAACTACAGATGTGAAACTTGTTGACACATTAATTATTATTTACCATGCAGAATGAAAGGGTGATATTTAGGCCGTTGCACTGGGCTTACATTACATTGTGGGAATCACGGAGCTCGTCACATGCTTCCCTCCTCTGTACCGCGCTGTGCAGTTTAAAGGCTTGTCGAAGTCAGTGAGTCGAGGGGGAAAGGTCAGGGTTGACACCGTCTTCCACTGCCACGTATTCAGCTTCTTTATTTGAGAGGTGACGGTTCCAGATCGGCTCCAGGACAATTTGGGGGGAAACATTGGGCAGGCGTGAGACACAGAGCAGGAGGCAGTTACTATATCTGTCACCTCCACAGACAGAGATCTGTTTCGCCTGCAGAGTTTGAATAGAATGTCAACACAATATATTACAGTGATTCAAATATTTACAAAAAATCTAAGTGTGTTGCCTTACAAATTATTAAAGTAATCTATAATACTCATGTATAACATCAATGGATACTGGATTATTTGTGAAGGAGAAGCTTCCGTATTGCGGCATTTCAATCCTGAAGTAGAAAGGGCCACCATCACTATACCTGACACCATCCAGCAGCATGGTGCAGTTGTTTACTTCCAGAGCTCCCAAAATCTGGGTTCGTTTTTTGTATTCCTTGGGCAGTTTCCATTTTGCGGAGATTGGTTGCGACCACCTTATTCTCGTCCTTCCAGAATCCTCGCCACCTGTTCACGTTCTGCATTGTGTTGGGCTTAGGGTAAATGTAGATGCAGGGAATAACTACACAGCAGCCCTGCACGACAGGAATCTTTGTCGGTACGTTTATTGACCACAAGACGTGAGAGGTCTGGACATGGATCACTGAAAACAAGAGAGAACATTGATTTATCATTAAGTGTAAGATAAAATATGTTATGCAAAAGAATGGTTAATGTAAGACTCACCATGTAACAACAGAAAGGAAAACCACAACCTCAGCTCCATCACTGACAAGGAAGAGAAATCTAAAGTGTAAAAAAAAGGCATGAGGCAATGAAAGACACATTAAACGGCTTGTTGTATTTTTGCACCAACAATTCCCTCACCTCTGAATCCTTTTAATGGCTGTGTGAGTGCACCTTCTCTTGGTGAAGATGTGTGCAGTGTCATTTGTATGTGATATTTAAAGTCCAACTTCACCCTTTAAAGCTGAAAGCGTTACCGAATGTTTTACAAAGCGTTGAGCTCATGACGTGAGTTAAACAGATACAGCAGAAGCTCAGGAGACGGATGTTGTTGCAGTATGTGATTACTTTGTTACTTGTCATCTGTTTAACATGTTACTTCTGTTTCAACTTAAAAATATGAATACAGAAAGGAATTCCACAGAACACAGTGTTCCAGCAATGCACAGACGCTACATTTTGTGTCACTGCCGACGGAAAAAACACAAGAAAAAATGGAAAAAGATGAATCACTAAAAGGACTGTTTTTAAGACTATCACTGCCAAATGCACAACCCAGATGGGCAGATGCAAAAAAAATTATTTAATAAAGCAAAAACTCACAAAAACAGGAAGTAAAATGAAATGACAAACTAACGGCCCTGGAGTCACTGACAGCCAACCAGTGTGCCATAGAGAAAACCTGTGAGAAGATCTTAGAAATTTACAAGATTTACAAGAACTGTAACCACATTTCCTTTTGAGGAAATTAACCATGGGGGAAATTCCATTTCTACATTTCACAGCTTTGCTGTTCAGGCATGTCTTGAAGAGTCATGTGATGGTCAGTCAAATGAGGTCAAACCTCACAAAGAAGAAATTTGATATTCTGTGTTTTTAATAGCTTTTGAATCCGTAACTGGTATTTGAGTTGCAACTCTAATAAGTTTGTAAACTGACAAAATTCAGAATTTTACTTCTATGAGTAAAATCCACCTATTTAAGTTAATATTCAGGGAGGCAAAGATTGCAACAAGGGATTGTGGGAGCGGCTGAACATAGTGTAAAATATTGTTTTAAAGTACGGCATAAGAATTTGTTTAGTTTGGTCTGTCACATTAGAGAAATTGCAGTACAAATGAAATGAAAAACTAGGACAAGAGACTCTCAGCGATGATGATAAGCCAGCTCCAGTATGCACACCGATACAACCAAGGTCGAGAAAGGCTCATCCTCAGCAAAATCTAATCGAAATTTGGCTATTGCTCAATAAATGTAGAACACTTTGGACAAACAATGACATCCACTTTTAACCTTTTATTGTTTGGTACAGTTCTTATTCTATATCATAGTTCTAAATTAAATGGCATTACAAAAAAGAACTTCATCTCTAAATAAGAGACTGAATCAGAAAAGAAAACAGAAGTTTCAGCTCCTGCCCAGATGACACATGAAGTGAATTGACAAACATATTGAGAAAGACTAGAAAAAACACAATGCATCATGTCACATCACCCAAGATGTGTCAAGTGAAGTTGCACAGCTGTACAGTGGAACATAGCAGATTACATGAATATATTCCACAGAAAACGGAACTCTTGATATCTTCTCCCGTTTCACGCTTGGTTATGGTGAGGGAAAGATCACAGCATTAAAAGGTAAACATCGATTGCAGGTCACACCAGGGGGCACATTTGTAAAATGAGTGATAATGTGTTAAGACACATTTGAAGCCTTGGTTCTGAGCAATAATAAACTGTCCATTATCAATGGTTACATATCCACTGTAATAAACAAAGGCCAAATAAACAACTTATATATGAAATTATATAAAGAAATATCATCTATTTGTCACTGGGAAATTGGTCCCTGGAAACAGACATGCATAAGGTCTCCCATCTCTACTTCATATAGGACATCCAGACTGAAAGAGACACCAAACAACTACAAATGACGCAGCTTGCTTGACTTTGTAGTTTTGCACCTCATTGTGTTTTCTTTTTTGTCTCTGTGTAGTCGTACACAGTGGCCATTTTTTGTCTCTTGTGGTAGTCTCATTGTAGTTGTTTTTCGTCTCTTTCTGGTCGTCTCTTGGTGGGCCCATCAGATTGAGGGGGATGCCCTCTCACAATTTCTGCAACTATGAGCCAGTAAATACAGAAGACTAACTGTAACTCTGCTTTGTTTTTATTAATGGCATGTCGTTTTTATCTCATAAAATCCTTTAGAGGATGCAATGATTCCTTTCTTACTCGTGATAACAAAACCATGTTCACACATGCAGGATACAGAAATACCGTTCAAAATGAAGTTCCAAATAGATTTGTGAGAAGCAGCTTTTCGACTATTTTGAATAATCCACATTTCCATATATATTGTCTGAGTGATCCGTACTTTGAGCCATCTGATCTGGAGGGGCCTGCAAAGACAGACGTTGGGTTATATATTAGGCTGTGGTTTTTGTCTTAGTTCCCATCTTCTTAGTAAATTAAAACCCAACCGAGTGGGGGTATTGTACCTCAATGTTGATGTAGACAGGTTCATCAATGTCCTTCAGTTCGGAGGGTTCCTTGTGCTCTTGTCTTTTGCAAGATGCTTCACTGAAAAGACAAAAGAGACCAGGTTGGATTCCAACTTGAGAGACAGGAGATCAGAAATGTGTCATTATGTCAGCAATTCACATTCACATATCTGGTGGAACAGCTGTTTTCAGAGTCAAAAGTCTTCATAAGTATAGTATTAAACTTTGCTTTCTGTATTATACACAGTAACAACAAATAATATCTACACTCTAATTCGATTTCACATTTGTATCAAGAAACAAACCTTTTCAATTGGTTTGCTCGGCTAAAATTTGCATAATGTCCAGAATCTTCCCTGGTAAAAGATTTTGACCTGTGAAAATAGTGAAAAAGATATTAGCCTTTCATCTGTTTGTATAAAAATATTTTTACAACACATTTGAAGCCCCCCCCCCCCCACACTATTTTCACAGGTCAAAATCTTTTACCAGGGAAGATTCTGGACA